GAGGCAGCACGGGAGCTCTCCCCACAGCCTCCCCTTCCTCTGTGCTGCACCCACAGACACACACTCCCACTCCTCCCGAGCTCCCCTCTGCCCAGAACACTGATCCGTCCAGACCCCCCACCCAATCCCCCTCCCTCCTGTGCATCTTCGCTCAAGGGTCCCCTTTGCAGGGGACACACACTGACCGGCCTTTCAACGTTGGAACCTGGCCCGTGTCGGCTTGTGTTCTCCAGGGGGCGGACACCGAGATGGGGTTCAGGGTCGTGAGATGATTGAGGGCACAGGCAGAAGATAAAGGGAAAGGGAGCAGGGAGGAGCTCCCACCCCGCAGTGCAGGTCTGACACCCGTGCAGGGGGAGGCGCAGGAGGGCGGGTGGGTAGGAAAGGGGGGCAGACACGGGGCACCTTTGACAGTCTCAACCCATCCCACTGGAGCCCGGAGCGCAGACCATCCCTGGGTCCCCCCTGCTCGTGGCAGCCAGGGCCGTGGCACCAGCCTCCTCATTCTCTCTGAGCAGTGCCGCTCCTTGTGCTGCGGCTGGTCTCCCCTGCACGTGGGGGCTCCTCCGGGGTGCGCCAGCCACTCTTTCTGGGGGGAGATCGCCGACAGGGGGGTAGGCACACCAGCCCCATCACTACAGCTGCTCTCGGGGCTCAGCTGCTGCTCCCTCCTTCCCTCCTCTGCCGCCCAGCCTGCCTGTCCAGCCACACCCCGCCTCTGCTGTCACCTCTGCAGGTCTTGGGGGCCTCCCTGGGGGTGTGACCCCCATCCCCACTCCTGAGGGACTGAGCCACTGGTTGCCGTGCCTCCTCAGGCTGGGCTAGGTGCGCTGTCCACGCACGAAATGGTCACGTGGTAGGCACCACAGTGCTGGGAGGCCCCTGAATGCCACACGTGTCCCCTACCCCCACCCTGGGCCACTGGAAGTACCAGCAGCTCCACCTGCTCCTGCTGGCTTGGCTGTGACTCCCGCTGTCTGCTCCTCTCTGGGCTCTGGGGCTCAAAATGCCAGGGAGGCAGCGGAAGCTGGTTCGGCGGGCTCCTTCCCATGCCTTCCAGTGAGAGTGAGCCCTGTGGGGGAGGGGCCTGTAACAGGGCCCCAGGGGCGGGGGGACATTGATTCTTCAGTGGGCCACTGGGTTCAGGATGCTCGTTCTCTTCCCGTTGGAAGCGTAGTGCCATGTAAAACTCTCTGATTCATGACACTGCGTCGTGAGGGATGGCACCCATCCTCGTGGGCACTGCCCTGCTGCTGTGCTTGGGAAGGCTGTCCAAAACGGCTGTCATGCCATTTCTGGGGATACGAAACCCTTCACACTGGTGCCCATGGCCCCTTGTCCATCCACTAGGGCTTCAGCCCAGAGCCCTTGTCTCCACTTGCAACCCTGATGGGTCAGGCCCCTGCCCGGGCCCCCCAGACTTTGGGCAGTGCCACGGAATCTGTAGCTGTTCCGTCGGGGCCACATTCCGACTCACGCCACGCATCCCACCAGGCGCTGGAAGCCCCACACACTGGGGAGGCATGTGTCTCACCTCAGCTTCAACTCAGCAGCAGATCCAAACAGTCCTGCCCCTGCCTACTCTCTTGAAAGGAGAGCTGAGTGGCATGCCCCACACCGGACCAAGTCCTGTGCCCTGGCATTCTCTGTCCCCTGCCTTGCTTCATTTCTTATAACCAGTGGACATATGTCTGGCTTCTTTATTGCGTGGTGTTTGCCTTCCTCCGTTGACAACTTAGTGTAGTGCCTGAGACATAGTAGGTGCTCAATTAAACCACGTCACACAGATGAATGAACAAATTAATCAGTCAGTGGGTGAACCATCTCCTCTGTAAGGGGTTTGTGGGGAGGTCTGGTTTTGCTAACCTGGCTAGAGAGTGTGTGATTGGGGCATTTGCTCAATGGTCTCTCTGTTGGACTGGACATTTGGTGCACCAAATGCCAGCTATTTCAACAAATAGAGAACCTGGGGTCCCAGCCACTGTCTCTGTGAGGTCTTGGTGAGCCCAGTACAGGAGGCTGTCCTTGTCCCCCAGCCCTCAGCACTCTTTTCTGGGGTCTTGGAGGGTTCTCTGCCATCCAGGTACCTGGAAACTCACTACTTGGGACAGAGGCCCTATGGCAAGATATCCTGTGCACAGCCATATGAGGACCTGCTCCATTCACCCCAAAATTCCTTGGCCACATTGGGCCCAGCCCAGAGGACATCAGGCTTCTGTCCAGCCAGGGTCAAGGTGGGCCTCAGGGACTCTGACCTTAGAGCTGGGCCAAGAGTGTGGTCATTAAGTGAGGGGCCCCTGGCCTCATTTGACCTTGGGAAGGTGGCTTCCTCGCCCTACAAAGGGACCTCCAATCCTACCCACCTTTGAGAGTAAATGGGAATTAACAAGGTCATGCATGTAAATGAAGATGGGGGCGCTCACTAGCCTTGGCCATGGTCATCCTCAAACTTGTGGGTCAACACTGACTCTCCCTCTCCTTATGGCCTCAACTTAGAGAGGAAGATCCCCACATTCAGAAAAAAAAACACATAACTCCTTGTCATCAGGCAGCTGGTCTCCTGGTGCCTGGATCCGAAGTGAGTCCATGCCCTCTCCAGCTGCTGTGGGGCCAAAGGCTGTCAGGGAAGGCTCCAGGATATTGATAGCCACAAGGATAACCATGGGCAGCTTCACTGAGACTTCAGAGGGGATGCCCTCTGCACAGACTTCCCCTTGACTTGGCCCATCCATCCTGTATGGTAAACAACATAGTCCCCCTTTTGAGATGAGGATACTGAGGCTGGAAAGGAGGCTCCCAACTAGTGAGAGAGAGCCTGAGCCCCCTTCAATCCCCTCCGAACTCTAGCTCCCGAGTCCAGGGGTGAAGGGCATCCAATCCACACAGTACTGTCTGGCCAAAGCCAGCCTTAAGTGCTTGGGGAAGACCAGAGCCTGTGCCGGGGTGGCGCTAAACAGGGAGCTACCGGTTGAGCATGGGGGACAGTGAGTCCTGACCCAGGACTGAAGGTGTAGGCGAATTTGGGTGATGGGAGCGATGGGGTCCAGCAGCACCCTGCTGCTCCAGAGACTCCCCACATGGCTTGTTTTCTCACCACCAGACAGCTGCCCTGTCCCAGCACTGCCCTGCCCACCAGGCACACTGGGGTGTGGTAAAGGGAAGCTGGGGAGCCTGTAGGGGGAACAGGGCTCGCTTCTGGAGGGGAGGCGTAGACCCAGTTACTCAGAGAGGGCTTCTGGGAGGATGAGCTGGATTCCCACGCTCCCCCTCCAGCAAAGGCTGCCACCACGAGCCAAGGAAGAGTGGGTCCGCTAGGGCAAAGGTCTGGGGTCTCCAGCTGCAACCAGCCCTGAGGAAGGGTTAGAGGGAGTCTAGTCTCCCCCACTTCCCAAAGTTTCTGAAGTACCTCTTGGGGCTAGAGAAGGGGCTGGGTCCTTGCACAATCAGGAGGCTACTGTACGCATGGAGGTGCCTTGTGTGCCGGACAGCAGCCCCTTCCCCCAGCCTCCCGGCCCCCCCACGCAGACTCCCCCACTTCTGTCCTCCTTGAGGCTTCCACAGATGTGCGCCGCTGGAGACAGAGCAGAGTAGCTGCCCTTCTCCCCTCGGGCGCTGTTCCCTGGCTGGCTGCTGTCTGATGTGTGTGTGTCTAACTGCCGCTGGTGGGTCCCCAGCCTGACGCTGGGTGGCTGTTTCCCTGGTCTGTGGGTGTCTGTGTGTCTGAGTGTGGGCGCATCTGTCTGTCTCGCTGTGAGTGTCTCCTGCTGAATCTGTCCTTGACCCTGTCTATCTGAGCCTGTGTGGGGGGGGGGGAGGGCGTGCTCCCTCCCGCTGCCTCTCCTCCCCCATCCCCTCCTGCAGGCGCTAACGCAGCAGCTGCCTTGGCTGCGCCCTAAGCGCAGTGACCTCGTCTGTCCCTGCGGCGGTGACCGCCCCACTGTGCTGTCAGCCGGGGGGGGAGGGGACCCACGCCGGGCTCTGAACCTCCCGCCTCTCCCCCCCTCAACCTGGGTCCGCCTGCGCCCCAAGTGGGTGTGCTCCCTTCCTGGTCGGGTCCACTGGCTCCAGATCTTCCCTTATGTAACTCCACAACTGTCTGCTCCTTGCAGGTCGCCCTAGACCCTGCGTTGGGCCCTGCCCGTGGGGAGACTGAGACCCCGATTCCCACGCATATGGGGGCTGGAGCAGACCCCTGGCCAGGGCTCCCGCTCTCGGAGACCCCTCCCATCCTTTCTCTTTGGGACGGTCCTTCCCCTGAAACCCGCTTGCCTGAAGCATGACAGGAGGAGGGGTCTCGCGGGGCAAGTTCCCCCGAGCGCAGGTGCAGGCGTACCCCCCTCATTCCATGTCCCCACAGTTCCCCGGCTCCCGACGAGGGCCGGCCAGGGTCACCGGGGCTGAGGGCACGGGGCAGGCCTAGAGGCGCAGGTACCGGCTCCTGGGTGCGCGGGCCGGCTGGCAGCAGGCGCGCCCCCCGCCCCGGCGCCCGCCGGCTCGGGCCGGGCTCTCCGCCAGCCGCCGTGCGCTCCTGGCTGGGGCTCCAGCGGCCCGGCGGGCACGCGGCGCTGTCCGTGGTGCTGCCGGCGCCGGGCGGGGCGGGGGCGGGGCGCGGGCGGCAGCCAATGGCGGGGGCGCTGCGCGGGGCGCGGGGGGCGGCGGGCTGGGCGCAGGGCGCACTCGGCTGCGCGCAGCACTCGGGGCGCACCGGCGCTCTGGCGGCGGCTCGGGCTCCCGCTCCGCTCCAGGTCCGCTCGGGCTGTAGCGGTGCTGCCGCTGGCTCCACTCGGCCCGGATTCCGGCCCGGGCCCCCTCGGCGCCGCCCGCTCCGGCCCCGTCCCGGGCCTCAGCGCCCGCGGACCATGCGCCGGGCACCCCCCGGCGAAGCCGGCCGGGCCGAGAGCCCGCAAACACCAGGCTCCCGGGCCGGGGCCCCTCCCGGCCGCGCGGCCGGCGATCCGCGCCCTGCCCCGCGCCCCGGCGCCGCCTGAACCGGCGGGGCCATGGAGCGCACGCCGCCCGACGGGCCGCTGAACGCGTCGGGGGCGCTGGCGGGCGAGGCGGCGGCTGCAGGCGGGGCGCGCGGCTTCTCCGCCGCCTGGACCGCGGTGCTGGCAGCGCTCATGGCGCTGCTTATCGTGGCCACGGTGCTCGGCAACGCGCTGGTCATGCTCGCTTTCGTGGCCGACTCGAGCCTCCGCACCCAGAACAACTTCTTTCTGCTCAACCTCGCCATCTCCGACTTCCTCGTGGGTAAAGCCCCCAGCCCCCGCCCGAGCCCAGGAGTGCCCAGCCCAGCCCGGCCAGCAGGGATCGGAGCGTGGACTAGGGTGCCTTTTTTGCTCAGGCACACAACCCGCCGGGGAGTCCTGCTTGGGGAGGGGGCGTCCAGGACCCGTGGGGAGGTGGGCGCGGACGAAGTTCCTTGCCTCCCCCACCAAGGGACGGGGAGGGGGGCGGGCGGGATGTTCCTCGGGAACGGACGGGTCCGGGCGCGCGGGCGCTTGGCAAGGCGCTAGGCGCAGCAGCCCCGTGTGCAGCGCCGGCTCCCGCGCTGTAGCCAAACAAAGGCCTGCCGGCGGACTCAGGACGTGCGGAGGGCGCTGGGAGAGGTTTGGGGGAGGGGACAGAGAAAGGAGTTTTTAGAGCCGTGTTGGGGGAGGGGGCCGTGGGGGAAGCGGGGTGGGGGTGGGGGAGATGCTCGGAGGAGCGCGCTCTCACGTGTCCGCGCGCTGCTGCCGGCTTGGGGGCGGGGCGCGCGGAGGGGGCCGGAGCGCCAGACACCTGTTGGGGCTGCTAGGTGCGTCTGCCAGACATTGGTGGCAGTGGGAGCGGCTGGCGCGACGGCAGCCAAATGCCCTTTGAGCCAGGAGAAAGGCTTTCTTGTTTTCTGAGCTGATGAGGAAGGGCTGTCCAAAGGCCGGGATAGGGCTGGGGTCCAGCAGGCAGAGGGGCTTGGGAGGACTGGTCAGAAGTCTGGAAGTCCTAAATCAAGGCTCAGGGTCTCATGGTGCCCAGAGGTCCCCACCCCGGGATCTTCCCTCCTGACCCCAAGTCCAAGGGATGCCAGTGGGGCTGGAACTAGGCAGGGGTTGAAGGCCAGGGGCAGGGTAGAAGTTGAGAGACAGGGTGGAGGGGAGGGCAAGGTAATGCTTACTGGTCCCAGGAAAGTGGCCGCTGTGCACCCCCAAGTCCTGCCTGTCTCTCCACTGTGGTGAGGCTCACCCCGGACATCTGTCCAGCCATCGCCCACCCTCGCCCTCTTCTCCCACAGGGGCCTTCTGCATCCCACTCTATGTGCCCTACGTGCTGACTGGCCGCTGGCCCTTTAGCCGGGGTCTCTGCAAACTGTGGCTGGTGGTGGACTATCTGCTCTGCACGTCCTCTGTCTTCAACATCGTGCTCATCAGCTACGACCGCTTCCTGTCGGTCACCCGCGCTGTGAGTCTGGGATGCGCTGCCCGTGTTCGGTCCCGGGAGGAGGGGTGGGCCAGAGGTGGCCACAGCAGAGCGGGGCCATTCCAGGTGGGGGGCAGTTACCAGGTGAGCCTGGCCCCTGCTGGCCTCACACCCGACATACGGGGTACTCAGTAGCCAGTTGCTGTGGGTAGGACGTGCCCTGGGACTGGCGGGAGGCACTATCTGGACCTGGCGTCAGGGGCTCCTGAAGGAAGAGGGACAATTCAGCCTCCACCCTGGACAGGTCCAACGATCTGAGAGCTGAGGGAGGTTCTGGGCCAGAGGCTCTTGGTGGTACCCTCCCCCCATACACACACACACACATACACACACACACGTGTGTGTGCGTGTGTGCATGCGCGTGCACGAGCATACCCCAGGAAGCCAGGCATCTGTCTCCACCAGCTTCCCTTGGTGTGAGTGGCCACCCTCAGGGACGCTGGACTGCCTGGCCTTCCTGCGTCACTACCCTGTGGGCACAGAGGAAGCCGCTGGAGCATGGGTCTCTCCTTTGCCCTCTCATCTCCTCCTTGGTGGTTGTACCAGTCACTCTGAGCGCCCTCTGCTGGGGGCCTCATGTGTCCTAGTCTAGAGAGGCCATGGAACAGAGGGCACAGCATGGGTTCGGGGTCAAGCCCCAGCTCTGTCCCTTTGAGCCAATCCAGCTGTGGCCTCCGCCTCCCTCCCCAAGCCACCGGGAGACTGAGGACAGTAATGGAGATGCCAAGACATCCAAAATGTGCTGAGCGCAGAGCTCCCAGTGGGTGCTCAGTGGACAGGGCACAATGGCAAGATAGCCTCGGGACCCTCACTGCCAGGGGCGGGGGTAGCAGGCAGATGGCCTGGCCCAGAGGGAGTGCTTGCGGTGGGTCTGAGGGAGGCTCTCTGACCATAGGGGAGTGGGCCAGGGCATCCGCCAGCCCAGGATCCATGCGGGGAGGGAGGCCATGCACAGAGGCCCAGAGGCTGCTGGTGGGCGATGGGAGGATGCTCCCAGCACCACAGAGGCTGCCCCCTGGGCCTGGTGCCCTTCCCTCCTGACCCATTGTCTCCCACGGCAGGTGTCCTACCGGGCCCAGCAGGGCGACACACGGCAGGCGGTGCAGAAGATGGTGCTGGTGTGGGTCCTGGCCTTCCTGCTGTACGGGCCTGCCATCCTGAGCTGGGAGTACCTGTCGGGGGGCAGCTCCATCCCAGAGGGCCACTGCTATGCCGAGTTCTTCTACAACTGGTACTTCCTCATCACGGCCTCCACACTCGAGTTCTTCACGCCCTTCCTCAGCGTCACTTTCTTCAACCTGAGCATCTACCTGAACATCCAGAGGCGCACCCGCGTCCGGCTGGATGGGGTGCGGGACCCCGAGCCTGCACCTGATGCCCAGTCCTCGCCCCCAGCGGCTGCGCCCGGCTGCTGGGGCTGCTGGCACAAGGGGCGAGGGGAGGCCATGCCGCTGCATAGGTACGGGGTCGGGGTGGGCGAGGCAGTCCCTGGCACTGAGGCCGGGGAGGTGGCCCTCGGGGGCGGCAGCGGTGGGGGCGCCGTGGCCTCGCCCACCTCCAGCTCCGGCAGCTCCTCCCGGGGCACAGAGCGGCCGCGCTCGCTCAAGCGGGGCTCCAAGCCCTCGGCGTCCTCTGCATCCCTGGAGAAGCGCATGAAGATGGTGTCCCAGAGCATCACCCAGCGCTTCCGGCTGTCGCGGGACAAGAAGGTGGCCAAGTCGCTGGCCGTCATCGTGAGCATCTTCGGGCTCTGCTGGGCCCCCTACACACTCCTGATGATTATCCGGGCCGCCTGCCATGGCCACTGCGTCCCTGACTACTGGTATGAGACATCCTTCTGGCTGCTGTGGGCCAACTCCGCTGTCAACCCTGTCCTCTACCCCCTGTGCCACTACAGTTTCCGACGAGCCTTCACTAAGCTGCTCTGCCCCCAGAAGCTTAAGGTGCAGCCCCATAGCTCCCTGGAGCGCTGCTGGAAGTGAGCGGGCTTCCCGGGCACCTGGGAGGCCGGGACAGGGCCCTCCCACTGCCACTCCCCCTTGAGGCTCTGCTTCCCCCCTCCTTGGCAGCCGGCCCCACCATCTCCCACCTGGCTGCCCTGGCTGTCCCCCAGGTGGGAGCTACACCTTGTCTTCAGCCCACCTGAAATGCCACGGCAGCCTCTTTTAGACCACCTGCCCATGGCGGGGCAGCTCAGTGGGCTGGCCAGAGAGGCCCTCGCTGTCTGAGCAGAATGTGGACGCCTGCCCTGCCACCCAGACCCTGGCTCCACCCCAGGAGGGGCCGTCCCAGCCCTGTTGCCCACCCTCCACAGATGGTCTGATGGCCAGTGGCGCCCACCGTCTGCACAGTTATTGCTTGGTGTTCTTCCCAAAGCAAGTGATTGGTGTGTGCCCCGTGCCCCGTGCCGCTGCAGTCCGCCCCGCACGTGCACACACCTGCACAGTACCCCCCCGTCAACAAGCCTGGGCCGTCGGCTCTGCTGCTGTCTGTCCTCTGCTTAAGCCCAGGCGCCGGGTCCATCGTCCCTCATCCTTCCAACTCCCTCTGCCCCCGAAGTGTCAAGTGCCCCCCGGGAACCTCGTGGCCGTTCTCCGCTCTTCCGTTCCGGGTGTTTCAGGGAAACGAAGAAGAAAACACGTCCGTGAACCCCATGTTCCTTGGCTGTTGAATCAAGAGAGACAAATTGCTGAGGAGCTCAGGGCTGGATTGGCAGGTGTGGCTCCCACGCCCTCCTTCCTCGTGCTGCTGCTTCCGGCTGAGCTGCGCAGCTGCTTCTGCCCACCCCGCCCCCGGCTCGGGGTGCTGGGCCCTGCCTGGCAGCTCTGAGAGCGGCCGGAGCGCTGGACGTGTGCTTGTCCAGAAGACTGCCCCTCCCGCTCCATCTGCTCAACCAGCCTCCTGGGGCTGGCGGCTGGGAGGGGACTGGCCATGCCCTGAGGGTCCCGAGGCTTGCAGGGGCAGCCCAAAGAGACCAGGGTCCTGGGGCATGCCCAGGGGAGGGGCCATTCGCCACGTCCCGTGCACCCGTCGGCGCTCTGCATGCCCGCCCCCTGCGTGTCCACGCGCTATCTTGCAGACTCTGAGGTCCACAGTAAAGCGTATTTTTTTATTGGTGCTGATTCCAGAGGACTTCTTGGGGAGCGGTGTGGGCTGAGCTCCTGTACATCAGTCGGGACCCCAGGGAGATATGAGACCGCTCGGCAGGGCATGAGGAGCAGGTGGGCAGCAAAGGCTGGCTTGGCCTGTCACATTAGGTTTGATGCTGATCGGGGACATGTGCCCCAGCAGTGGCCCTGACCCATGCACACCTGTTCAGGAGGATGGTACGGTGCTAGGAGGGACTCACTCCAGCCTTGAGAATATGACCCCCACCCCCAGCCCGGCGCAGCCTGCCCACCCCCAGGACCAGGGTTTTCTTTTCTTTTTTTTTTTTTTTAAAGATTTTATTTATTTATTTGACAGACAGAGATCACAAGTGGACAGAGAGGCAGGCAGAGAGAGAGGAGGAAGCAGGCTCCCTGCGGAGCAGAAAGCCCGATGTGGGGCTCGATCCCAGGACGCTGGGATCATGACCTGAGCCGAAGGCAGAGGCTTTAACCCACTA